CACACAGTAGGAGTGAGGGGTCTCTGCGGTCTTCCCAGGACCTCTTTGGCCCGCAGTATTCTAAAGCGTGGCCATGCAGGTTCAAGGCCTGGCTCTCCACTACATTTGGTTTTGCTACTTGCTATCCACGGCAGCTCGGGTTGACTGGACAGCTAGGCGCTGCTCAGTTCCCCACACATTGGAGTCTGAAGGCAACACAGGCTGACTGACTGGTGAACGATTACTTTGCCGGAGTTGGGCATCAGGCTGGTGTTGTTTTGAGCACACTGCCACAGCAGTGCCCCCTAAACAGTCTGCCTTGCACAAACTTGCATGATCTGCTGCTCATCATTTGGCTGGCTGGCTTGAACCTGTCATGCTTCATGCAGAATGATAGGAGTGAGGGCTCCCTGTGCGTCTAAACAATTCTAGGCCCTTTGCTTGGGGCAGGTAGTGGGAATGCAGGCTGAGATCTGGGCAAGGCATCGCTCCATTGGGGGCATTCTCCATGCTACATCGCCATTGGGATCAATGCTTGGCCAAGCCGTGCTCATTTTTCCACAGAGTTCTCTCCCAAGGCAGGTTGGTTCCCTGACATAATAACCATTCCTTATCAGATGGGGGTATGTATGCAGAGGAGAGAAGGAATCCTCTCCCTGAATAATTGAGCCTCCAGAGTCTCCTGAGGGAATCCGGGATGACAGGGAACTCCCTTCGTTTAGTTGGCAGCTCAAAGGCGCCCTGCAAGGAGCACAATGCCAGGTTGTTCTATCAATGCATGGAACGCGTGTGTACTACATGTTTCACTGCATGCCAGCCGTATGAGTGCAGTTCGCTTAGTTGTGGTCTGTACCTCCATGGTCCAGGGCTTGAACTCCAGGGTCCTGGCGGTCTCACATTGTGGCGAGTAGATCCTCAAATTTCTCCTTTCTTCCATTTATTTACATGCTTATGTGTCTGCAATTCTGGTTAGAACCCCATGCTTCCCCTGTTTGATTGTGAGAGAAGGGCAGGCTCCCTGTATGGCTGAAAAATACACATAGTGGCCCTGGCTCATGGCTGTGAAAGATCTGACTCACGGCCTCTTGTACAACCACTCTCCAGACCTCTGTATGATTGTGAGTTGCAGGGCGAGGACGCTGAATGATTAACCAGACTGAAATGTTCCCATGTACAAAAGTCAGGTCTGCAGGAGCTCGTGGTGTGCTTGACCAGCCTGCTAAAGTCCACTGCATTTCTGTCGGCTTCAGGACACTCTCACTGCATGGCAAAAGATTCCATAACCATGTCCATGGAGGAGCTAGTGGCGAGGGCTGGTGTCTGTGCAACTAACTACTCTCGCAAGTTTGTGACATGCCGAAAGATATGTGTGATGACTCTCCCCGCTCTTACGGGGTCCTCACCATTCTGAAGTAGGCAGCTTAGGTTGAATGCAGGGTCACTGCATCTTGTTTGGGCACTCAAACCTTCTGTTATTGGATGTCTCAGGGAAGGGCCTTCTTCTTCTGTTCCTGGGCCATACTCCTATGTTCCTTACAGGCCGGCCAGGACAATGGTGTGCTCCCTGTGTATCCCAAGGTTCCTCAGGGGAGCCCTGCCTAGAAGCTGTGCCCAGGGCAGACTTGCTGCCTGCTTACTACTCCTCGCCAGACCTCTGTAGGACCTTTCCCGGATGAAAGCATTTTTTCCATGCCTTCCGATCCTTAACCCATCCACCAGGTGTCTCGCAGGACCAGGGTGAGCCCCGGGTTGGCTGAGCAGTCCTCAGAGGACTGCTCCATAGGTGGCAGAGTGATGACATGTGGGCTGCATTGCTAACGAGTCCATGAGCAGTGTCCTGTCATCAAGCTAGGCAAGGCAGATTCAGCCTGGGCCTAAAGATGCACTGAAGATCAGGTGAATGCCGCACAGTAGGAGTGAGGGCTCTCTGTGCTCATCCCAGGACCTCTTTGGCACACAGGAGTCCAAAGCATGGCCATGCAGGATCAAGACCTCCCTCTCCACTACATTTGGTTTTGCTACTTGCTATCCATGGCAGCTTGGGCTGACTGGACGACTAGGCCCTGCTCAGTTCTCCACACATTGGAGTCTGAAGGGAACACAAGCTGACTGACTCCTGAACGATTCCTTTGCAGGTGTTCAGCATCAGGCTGGTGTTGTTTTGAGCACACTGCAGCAGCAATGCCCACTAAACGGTCTGCCTGGGGCAACCCTGCATGATCGGCTGCTCATCATTTGGATGGCTGTCCGGAACCTGTCGTGCTTCATGCAGAATGATAGGAGTGAGTGCTCCCTGTGCTGCTAAACAATTCTAGCCCCTTTGCTTGGGGCAGGTCTTCTGAATCCAGGCTGAGGTGTGGGCAAGGCATGGCTCCATTGGGTGCATTCACCATGCTGCATCACTGCTTGGATCAACGCTTGGCCAAGCCGTGCTCATTTATCCACAGAGTTCTCTCCCAAGGCATGTTGGCTCCCTGACACAATAACCATTCCTTTTCAGATGGGTGTATGCATGCAGTTGAGAGGGAGCCCTCTGCCTGAATAATTGAGCCTTCAGAGTCTCCTTGAGGGAGTCCGGGATGACAGGGAATGCCCTTCATGCTAGTGGACAGCTCAAAGGTGCACTGCAAGGAGCAAAACGCCAGGTGGTTCTCACAATGCGTCGAACGGCAATGTACTACATGTATCACTGCAAATCAGCCGTATGAGTGCAGGTCACTTAGTTGCGGTCTGTACCTCCACGGTACAGGGCTTGAACTGCAGGGGCCTGGCGGTCTCACATTGTGGTGAGGATATCCTCACATTTCTCCTACCCTCAATTTATTTACAAGCTGATGTGTCTGCAATTCTGGTTAGAACCCATGCTTCCCCTGTTTGATTGTGGGAGAAGGGCAGGCTCCGTGCTTGGCTGAACAATTCACATAGTGGCCCTGGCTCCTGACTCTGCAAGATCGGGCTCACGGCCTCTTGTACAACCACTCTCCAAACCTCTGGATGATTGTTAGTCGCAGGGTGTGGTCCCTGAATGTTTAACCAGCCTGAAATGTTCCACTGTACAAAAGTCAGGTCTGCAGGAGCTCGTGGTGTGCCTGACTGGCCTGCTCAACTCCGCTGCATTTCTGTCGGCTACAGGACATTCTCACTGCATGGCAAAAGATTCCCGAACCATGTCCCTGGGGGAGCCAGTGGCGAGGGCTGGTCCCTGTGTGGCTAACTCCTCCCCCAAGTTTGTGACATGCAGAAAGGTATGCATGATGACTCTCCCCGCTCTTACGGGGTCCTCGCAATTCTGAAATAAGTAGCTTAGCTTGAATGCAGGGTCACTGCATCTTGGTTGGGCACTTGAACCTTCTGCTATTGGATGTCTCGGGCAAGGGCCTTCTTCAGTTCCTGGGCCCCACTCCTGTGTTCACTAGGGGCCGGCAGGGACAATGGTGTGCTCCCTGTGCATCTCAAGGTTCCTCAGGGCAGCCCTGCCTATGAGTTGCGCCAAGAGCAGACTTGCTGCCTGCTTACTACTCCTCACCAGACCTCTGTAGGACCTTTCTGGGATGAAAGCAATTTTTCCATGCCTTCTGATCATTGAATCATCCACCAGGTGTCGCGCAGGAACAGGGCGAGCTCCGGGTTGGCTGAGCAGTCCTCAGAGGACTGCTCCATAGGTGGCAGAGTGATGACATGTGGGCTGCATTGCTTACCAGTCCATGAGCAGTGCACTGTCGTCAAGCTAGGCAGGGCAGATTCAGCCTGGGCCTAAAGATGCACTGAAGATCAGGCGAATGCATCACAGTCGGAGTGAGGGGTCTCTGTGCTCTTTCCAGGACCTCTGTGGCCCGCGGGATTCCAAAGCATGGCCATGCAGGTTCAAGGCCTGACTCTCCACTGCATTTGGTTTTGCTACTTCCTATCCACGGCAGCTCAGGCTGATTGGATGGCTAGGCTCTACTCAGTTCTCCACACGTTGTAGTCTTAACTGTACGCAGGCTCACTGACTAGTCAATGATTCCTTTGCAGGGGTTCGGCATCATCCTGGGGTTGTTTTGAGCACAGTGCAGCAGCAATGCCCCCTAAGCAGCCTGCCTGGGGCAGCCCCGCATGATCTGCTGTCCATCATTCGGTTGGCTGCCTGGAACCTGTCGTGCTTCATGCAGAATGACTGAAATGAGGGCTCCCTGTGCTGCTAAACAATTCTAGGCCCTTTGCTTGGGGCAGGTAGTGGGAATGCAGGCTGAGGTCTGGGCAAGGCATGGCTCCATTGGGGGAATGCTCCATGCTGCATCACCACTGGGATTAATGCTTGGCCAAGCCGTGCTCATTTTTCCACAAAGTTCTCTCCCAAGGGAGGTTGGCTCCCTGACACAATGACCATTCCTTTTCAGATGGGTGTATGCATGCAGTGGAGAGAAGGAACCCTCTGCTTGAATAATTGAGCCTCCAGAGTCTCCTGAGGGAGTCCAGGATGACAGGGAACTCCCTTTGTGTTAGTCGGCAGCTGAAAGGTGCACTGCAAGGAGCACAAAGCCAGGTGGTTCCTACAATGCGTCGAACGGGTATGTACTACATGTTTCACTGCAAGCCAGCCATATGAGTGCAGGTCATTTATTTGAGGTTTGTACCTCCACGGTCCAGGGCTTGAACTCCAGGGGTCTGGCGGTCTCACATTGTGGCAAGGAGATCCTCACATTTCTCCTACCTTCAATTTATTTACAAGCTGATGTGTCTGCAATTCTGGTTAGAAGCCCATGCTTTCCCTGTTTTATTGTGGGAGAAGGGCAGGCTCCGTGCATGGCTGAACAATTCCCATAGTGACCCTGGCTCATGGCTGTGCAAGATCTGGCTCACGACCTCTAGTACCACCACTCTCCAGACCTCTGTATGATTGTTCATCGCAGGGCATGGTCCCTGAATGCCGAAGCAGCCTGAAATGCTCCCCTATACAGAAGTCAGGTCTGCAGGAGCTCTTGATGTGCCTGACCGGCCTGCTAAAGTCTGCTGTATTTCTGTTGGCTTCAGGACCTTCTCACTGCATGGCAAGAGATTCCATAACCATGTCCCTGGAGGAGCCAGCGGTGAGGGCTGGTCGCCGTGAAGCTAACTACTCCCCCAAGTTTGTGACATGCAGTAAGGTATGTGTGATGACTCTCCCCTCTCTTATGGGGTCCTTGCCATTCCGAAGTAGGAACCTTAGCTTGAATGTAGGGTCACTGCATCTTGGTTGGGCACTCGAACTTTCTGCTATTGAATGTCTCAGACCCAGGCCTTCTTCTTCAGTTCCTGGGCTCCACTCCTGTGTTCACTAGGAGCCGGCCGGGACAATGGTGTGCTCCCTGTGCATCCTAAGGGTCCTTAGGGCAGCCCTGCTTAGGAGCTGCCCCCAGGACAGACTTGCTGCCTGCTTACTAGTCCTCACCAGACCTCTGTAGGACCTTTCGCAGACGAAAGCATTTTTTCCATGCCTTCCAATCCTTAACCCATCCACCAGGTGTCACGCAGGACCAGGGTGAGCCCCAGGTTGGCTGAGCAGTCCTCCAAGGACTGCTCCATAGGTGGCAGAGTGATGACATGTGGGCTGCATTGCTTACCAGTCCATGAGCAGTGTGCTGTCGTCAAGCTAGGCAGGGCTGATTCAGCCTGGGCCTAAAGATGCACTGAAGATCAGGTGAATGCTGCACAGTAGGAGTGAGGGATCTCTGCACTCTTCCCAGGATCTCTGTTGCCCTCAGGAATCCAAAGCATAGCCATGCAGTTTCAAGGCCTGGCTCTCCACTGCATTTGGTTTTGCCACTTGCTATCTACGGCAGGTCACGCTGACTGGACTGCTAGGCCTTGCTCAGTTCTCCACACATTGCAGTCTGAAGGGAACCCACGCTGACTGACTGGTAAAGGATTCCTTTGCAGGGGTCCAGCATAAGGGTGGGGTTGTTTTGATAACACTGCAGCAACAATGCCCCCTAAATGGTCTGCCTGGGGCAACCCTGCATGATCTGCTGCTCATCATTTGGCTGGCTGGCTGGAAGCTGTGGTGCTTCATGCAGAATGATAGGAGTGAGGGCTCCCTGTGTTGGTAAACAATTCTAGGCCCTTTGCTTGGGGCAGGTAGTGGGAATGCAGGCTGAGGTCTACGCAAGGCATGGCTCCATTGTGGGCATTCTCCATGCTGCATCACCACTGGGATTAATGCTTGGCCAAGCCGTGCTCATTTTCCACAGAGTTCTCTCCCAAGGCAGGTTGGCTCCCTGACACAATGACCATTCCTTTTCATATGGGTGTATGCATGCAATGGAGAGAAGGAACCCTCTGCCTGAATAATTGAGCCTCCAGAGTCTCCTGAGGGAGTCCGGGATAACAGGGAACTCCCTTCTTGCTAGTTGGCAGCTCAAATGTGCAGTGCAAGGAGCACAGCACCAGGTGGTTCTCACAGTGTGTCGAACGGGTATGTACTACATGTTTCACTGCATGCCAGCCATACGAGTGCAGATCGCTTAGTTGCGGTCTGTACCTCCACGGTCCATGACTTGAAGTCCAGGGACCTGGCGGTCTCATATTGTGGCGAGGAGATCCTCACATTTCTCCTACCTTCAATTTATTTACAAGCTGATGTGTCTGCAATTCTGGTTAGAACCCATGCTTCCCCTGTTTGATTGTGGGAGAAGTGCAGGCTCCATGCTTGGCTGAACAATTCACATAGTGGCCCTGGCTCATGGCTGTGAAAGATCTGGCTCACGGCCTCTTGTACAACCACTCTCCAGACCCCTGTATGATTGTTAGTCGCAGGTCTTTGTCTCTGAATGCCTAACCAGCCTGAAATGTTCCACTGTACAAAAGTCAGGTCTGCAAGAGCTCGTGCTGTGCCTGACTGGTGTGCTCAAGTCCGCTGCATTTCTGTCGGCTTCAGGACATTCTCACTGCATGGCAAGACATTTCCTAACTATGTCCCTCGAGGAGTGGGGGGCGAAGGCTGGTCCCTGTGCAGCTAACTACTCCCCCAAGTTTGTGACATGCAGAAAGGTATGCGTGATCACTCTCCCACCTCTTACGGGGTCCTCGCCATTGCGAAGAAGGCAGCTTAGCTTGAATGCAGGGTCACTGCATCTTGGTTGGGCACTCCAACCGTCTGCTATTGGATGTCTCGGGCAAGGGCCTTCTTCTTCAGTTCCTGGGCCCCACTCCTGTGTTCACTAGTGTCTGGCCGGGACAATGGTGTGCTCCCTGTGCATCCCAAGGGTCCTCCGGGGAGCCCTGGCTAGAAGTTGCGCTCAGGGAAGACATGCTGCCTCCTTACTACTCCTCTCCAGACCTCTATAGGACCTTTCTAGGTTGAAAGCATTTTTTCCATGCCTTGTGATCCTTAACCCATCCACCAGGTGTCGTGCAGGACCAGGGCGATCACCGATTTGGCTGAGCAATCCTCAGAGGACTGCTCCATAGGTGGCAGAGTGATGACATGTGGTCTGCATTGCTAACCAGTCCATGAGCAGTGCGTTGTCATCAAGCTAGGCAGGGCAGATTCAGCCTGGGCCTAAAGATGCACTGAAGATCGGGTGAATGCTGCACAGTAAGAGTGAGGGGTCTCTGTGGTCTTCCCAGGATCTCTGTGGCCCACGGGATTCCAAAGCGTGGCCATGCAGGTTCAAGGCCTGGCTCTCCACTGCATTTGGTTTTGCTACTTGCCATCCATGGAAGCTCGGGCTGACTGGACGACTAGGCCCTGCTCAGTTGTCTACACATTGGAGTCTGAAGGGAACACAGGCTGACTGACTGGTGAGTGATTCCTTTGCATGGATGTGGCATCATCCTGGGGTTGTTTTGAGCACAGTGCAGCAGCAATGCCCGCTAATCAGTCTGCGTGGGGCAACCCCGCATGATCTGCTGCTCATCATTCGGCTGGCTGGCTGGAACCTGTTGTGCTTCATGCAGAATGACAGGAATGAGGGCTCCCTGTGCTGCTAAACAATTCTAGGCCCTTTGCTTGGGGCAGGTAGTGGGAATGCAGGCTGAGGTCTGGGCAAGTCATGGCTCCATTGGGGGCATTCTCCATGCTGCATCACCCCTCGGATCAATGCTTGGCCAAGCCGTGCTCATTTTCCACAGAGTTCTCTCCCAAGGCAGGTTGGCTCCCTGACTCAAAAACCATTCCTTTTCAGATGGGTGTATGCATGCATTGGAGAGAAGGAGCCCTCTGCCTGAATAATTGAGCCTCCAGAGTCTCCTGAGGGAATCCGGGATGACAGGGAACTCCCTTCGTGTTAGTCGGCAGCTGAAAGGCACACTACAAGGAGCACAAAGCCAGGTGGTTCTCACAATGCATCGAACGGGTATGTACTACATGTTTCCCTGCATGCCAGCCATACGAGTGCAGGTCGCTTAGTTGGGGTCTGTACCTCAAAGGTCCAGGGCTTGAACTCCAGGGGCCTGGCCATCTCACATTGTGGCGAGGAGATCCTCACATTTCTCCAACCTTCAAATTATTTACAAGCTGATGTGTCTGCAATTCTGGTTAGAACCCCATGCTTCCCCTGTTTGATTGTGGGAGAAGGGCAGGCTCTGTGCATGGCAGAACAATTCACATAGTTGCCCTGGCTCATGACTGTGCAAGATCTGGCTCACGGCCTCTTGTACAACCACTCTCCAGACCTCTGTATGATTTTTATTCACATAGCTTGGTCTCTGAATGCCTACCCAGCCTGAAATGTTCCACTGTACAAAAGTCAGGTCTGTAGGAGTTCGTGGTGTGCCTGTCCGGCCTTTTCAAGTCCATTGACTTTCTGTCGACTTCACGACATTCTTATTGCATAGCAAAAGATTCCCTAACCTTGGCCCTGTAGGAGCCAGCAGTAGGGCTGGCTATCTGTGAAGCTAACTACTCCCCCAAGTTTGTGACATGCAGAAAGGTATGCATGATCACTCTCCCAGCTCTTCTGGGATCCTCGCCATTCGGAAGTAGGCAGCTTAGCTTCAATGCAGGTTCACTGCATCTTGGTTGGGCACTCGAACCTTCTGCTATTGCATGTCTCGGGCAAGGGCCTTCTTCTTCTTTTCCTGGGCCCCACTCCTGTGTTCACTAGGTGCCGGCTGGTACAAGGGTGTCCTCTCTCTGCTTCCCAAGGGTCCTTAGGTGAGCCTTGCCTAGAAGCTGCACCCAGGGCAGACTTGATGCCTGCTTACTACTCCATGCCAGACCTCTGTAGGTCCTTTCCAGGAGGAGTGTGGGGGACCAGCCCCCACTAGTCGAACAGTACCTGAAGGAGAGAGTGAGGATTGAAAAGGAAAGACACTCTAGGCAGAGTGGAGACAAAAGACTGTCTGCTTTAATTGAGGCAAACCTGGTTCTTTATACACACATTATTAGCACATTATCTTGTGTAGATACACAAGAAACATCTGCAGAAAGACATCACAAGAAAATGTTTAGACACCATAATATTTTACGATTCCTAAGGTCAAAAGGTATTCACATGCACTTTGGGCTGGAATGTGGCTTCATTAAGTTGATAGATTAGCTCCTTGTTAACCACTTCTAGTTTTCTGCATACTATTGTTAGGTGAGAGTTTCAGTTTCCCCACATTTCCTCCTTTTTTATTTTAATTAAAAGAAAACAGAACTTCATTCTGTTTCCACAGATAGACTGTGCCTGTCTTAGGCGAGGACCATCAGATGAAATTTCTTACCCGTCATCAAGTAATGGGATATTCCTCTTTCCCATACTCTGTCTTAGGTTGAATATTTCTCTATGGTCCTCTTACCTGTCTTTGACTACCAGCCTCTGTTTAATAAGGAGGATCTTTTGAATGAAGATGGAGACCATGAACTCGACTAGACACAGTAGTGATGGAAGAAATGAAAACTCTGGTCAAAACAGAAATGACCACACACCCAACACAGATTCCAATTCCAATTGCCAAAATGGGCCATAACAATTTATACCAATGATCAAAAGATGGAAAAACATTCTTAAGATGATCTAAGAAATTTTCAGCAATTTGAGCTGCATCATATTTTAAAGAAGGGGAATTTTGTAAATTTAAAATTTCTTGATGTAATTGAACAAGTTCAAGAGAAGTATTATAATCATTCCATATTCCCTGCAAATGCTTTTTTAATCTGAGACCAATCATATTGTGTTCTATTATAAGATTTTTGAGTAACACAAATCCATTTATACATAGCATGACAAGAAAGATGAGATTGAATCTGTAAACTCTGAATTTCTTCTCCCATAATATCAACTGTTTTATGAAGAGCATTTAATTTCTCTTCTAGTCTCTTATCTACATCATATTGGGTAACAAAAGTATGGGTAACATTCTGAGTGAGGGAATTAACAAACTGAGCTTCTTTTACTTCTTGGGTTAATGCCACAGCAGCCATAGTTGCTGAGGCTATAATAGTGACAAGAGCTATGACTCCAACAATAACCCATTCAATAAATCTTTTTTGTCTAGCTAAAGCCTTACTAATCATCTTAAGCACCTGCAATCCTTGTTCTTCATACCAGGTCTCATTAATGGATACAGGAATCATAACAAAGAGAGGTTGCCTTAAAACCATAAGAGACAAATTATTATCAGATACATTGGCGACACAGTTAGATAAAATACAATTAGAACAACTAACATTATATTCCTTATCATTTTCATGTATAATCTGTATATTTCCTATTAAAAGAACAAGAGAGCTTTCTTTTGTCCTTTGGCTTGAGATAACACAGTACTTATGGTATTTCGCATGTTAGAGGCCCCTTTGCCAAAAACAGCGAAACTAAGGTTAGTGACTTTGATATTTGGCCATAAACATATTTCTCCCAATGCAGCAGCAAGTTTCCAAATGTTGGTCTGAGGAAAACCTGAATCTCTCCACCAGAGTCCTTCAGATAAGCTTAAGTCTGTGGAATTTCCAAGTGATTAGTCCAAAAACTTTTGAGATGTGTCATTAAATAATCTTTCCTGAGGTATAGTAACATTGTCTCTTCCTCACACAGGGGAAGGGATTGCAGGGGCTCACCAGTTCCATTTTTGTCCTTTTTTTTTTTTCGGATAGAAGATGGTCACAATTTGCTTTTTGGAATGAAATTCCCACTTGTGCACTGAGACACATCCTGGAGTTCTCTCTTTCACTTCAGTGTTGGGGTCCCAATCCATTCTCCTCAGTGGAAACCCAGCTTCAAGCTGTTCAGGGATAGTGGTGGGTCTATAAATGTACCTGTAACCTTAAGTAGGTGGAGCAGAAGAGAAGGGAGAATACCTGGACCAAAAGGTTATTATCAGAAACAATATACTGGAAAACCTGCATGGTCAGACAATGTGAATACATTTTGTATACCAGAAAAGTAGCAGTAATAACTATTTATAATTATATGAAATCTTATGTCCTGTAATGTAGCTTTGTATCAACAGGATTTCCCCCCCTTTTTTTTTAAATAATATATTTTGAAGATAACCATCATAAACATGTTACAATAACGTATTCAGAATTCAGCCTTTTGATGATAACCAATATAAACATTTTAACAACATATTTAACAAGGCATATCTTTTTATAATGCTATGAAAATTATTTGGGTGGCTCCCATTAGTGAACAAAGATCAGAATAAATTTTCTGAGCAGCTGCTTCTTTATTTACCAACAGGATTGCACCCAAGCTTACAAGTTTATATTTAATTATCTTTAAATTTTTTACTTAACGTATAAAACCAGGGTGTAGAAATCAACAATCTACTTATATTTGATGTCATTTTGATCAAAAATATAATCAGACACTTTTGAACATTTAGACAGACAAACATATAAGACAATTTAAACTAGAGTGCACTCAGATGGTTTTGGCCAATTGAATTATAAAATCTTTTAGTTATGACTAGTCAAGACTTTTGCAGGTCAAAGTTAACAGAGATCTCATAGAATTAGGGTTAAAGGAATAAAAGCTGTTCTTGACTGTAAATATAAGCCTTTTATAATAAACTTGAAACCAACAAGCAAGGATATTTTTTTTTTAAATTAAATAATTTTTACATACCTTCTCTACATAGGCCTTTTGGTTTTGTATATCTTTCTTTACCTGTTTCTAATCAGACAAACACACAAAAACTCTTCATGTCAAAAGTATATCTCATATTTATAGCTTTCCTAATATTTTTCTGCCTCATTTACTATTAATTTTCTATAACAAACTTCAGCTTAAAGTATCCTTTTTCTGTTTTCAGGTTGTTACATTTTAAAATTTGACTGGCTGCCAATAGAACAATTAACCTTGTTACCTGTTTCTAATCAGACAAACACACAAAAACTCTTCATGTCAAAAGTATAACTCTTATTTATAGCTTTCCTAATATTTTTCTGCCTCATTTACTATTAATTTTCTATAACAAACTTCAGCTTAAAGTATCCTTTTTCTGTTTTCAGGTTGTTACATTTTAAAATTTGACTGGCTGCCAATAGAACAGTATTAACCTTGAGTTTTAGAAAAAAGCAAGTTAACCCTATAATCACAGTTTAAGAATTTGCAATGCAGAAGAAGTTTTACCAAAACTAAATCATTCTCATTAGCAGCTGATTGTCACAGAGCAGAAGTTTTGAGCCACTCCTAGACTGGAGTTGTTTTGAAATCTCTTTCTTAGTTATATGGAGTCCAGGGTCAGCTGCAGTCTGAGACCTCTTGGTATATCAAATAAAAGTTTTAATTCTCTGGTAGTTAATTTTAAATAAGGCCTTATCCAATTAATATTTCCCAACAATTTTTGAAAATCATTCAAAGTTTTCAAATTATCTTTTCAAATCCGTAACTTTTGGGTAATTATTTTTCGAGGATAAAGTTGATATGCCAAATATGAAAAAGGAGACTCCTGTTGAAATTTTTCCTAACTGTCCAGCAGCTGTTAATTTCTCACTAGTTAAGGGCCATTGATCAACCTAAACAGGTTTTTCATCTTTCCAGACAATTGGATCTGTATGGGGTGCAGGAAGGTCAATGACCCCTAGGGAAAATACCCCAGGCCTTGTGTAGGAGGATGGGTTGTCGGAGTCACAGGAGATTGAATTCCTTGACCTTCCTTTCCTAAACCAACATTAGGCAAGAATCCTTGATCAAACATTTGATTGGAAACCTTTTGATTAGGGCTATACAAATAAACTCCCATCTGTTGCATGACATCTTTTCCCCATAAATTAACCGGGAGGCCAGGAATAACGTAAGGCTGAAAAGTCCCACAGTGTCCTTCAAAATCACTCCAATTTAGCATATCAGTACTTTGTTTAGGATTTTTACTTTGACCAATGC